GAAAGTGAGTGTAATAAAGCATATGGTAATTCTAATTAAAGTATCTATTACATAACATTATTAGAAGAATGCACTGATATGATCCTGGTGAGAATTTATCATATGCCTTGATGATTATCATTTTATTTGTGCATTGTTAACCCTCTGATCAGCACAGGGTTTTTTAGTTTTTTGTTTTGGTAGATTATGGCAAAGCATACTAGGGCTATCTGCCTAAGGGAAGGGTTGCTTTTGTGGAGGTTTTTCTAAAAGAAACTGCTTGCATACACATTACACATGGGGAAGATCAACACAAGGTTTTTCTAAAATTGCCTTAATTTCTTGGACATATTTCAAGATGTATGAACATATATTTTCTTTAAAATATTCTGTGTCATATATGTATGGTCTTGCTAGTCAGAGCTTAAAAGGAAAGTCCAGACAATCCCATTTGGCATCTCCCAATTTGAAGAGATCCTCCTTCACATTTTTTAATGGTCCTTATTTTCAATTATTATAATATTTTCAATTATTTCAATTTATTATAATCAGATATAAAACAGCACTGATAGTAATCTCTATTTTTCATTCTCATAAAACATTGCCTAATGTCTCTCAACATGGTAAAAAAATTAGTCACCATTATTGACAGATCACCTTCACAATTCACCCAGATGATGCAACATCAAGGATGCTTTTTCTCTTATATTCCATACAATTATTTATTTAAGATGACCCCGCAGAGATTCTAAGATCTGAGCGTTAGCACCACAGCAGAATCTATAAAATTCATTTGATGATTTACTGTCAGGTGAATGCATCATGTGACTCATATACAATAACAAAAAGCAAATACAGAATAGGTCATCTGTTATAAGAACACTGGTTTTTTTACATATTTAAAAAAGCAACACACATTTGCATATATAATATTTTTTCCACTTTCATAACATATCTGTGCATTCAAAGGCTATAATATACTATGCTGTCCATCTACTATATGTTATAATTGCAGCTGAATGCATCATGATGTTTCCTGATACTAACAGATTATTAGGAATACTTCCATAAAATCTGTGACATAGGCAATTCAGAACCTAAACTCAAAATTTTGAACACGAAAACATTTCTAACTAAACCTTCCTCTTGGCGATCTTCCATATTGGATAAAAGCACAATTTACTTGTATCTCTGCTGCTGCTTGGATGCCATTTCATTATGCTCTCTTCCTATTGCAATAGCATTAAAAAATGTAAATGTTCTGGAAATAGGCACGATTAGAGTGACAAGTCAAATGTGGCCACAAATGTCAATTTAAATAAAAATGAAATTTAATCTATCTCAACTGCCAAGTTTCCTATTCATTCTGGATTCACATTCTACACAATCAAAATTCTTCCTCTTCAATATCCCATCTACGTGCTTCATAATCATAATTTCGGCGTTTCTACATCGCAGTGTTCCTACATGAGTACTTCTCTAAATTTGTTTTCACCATATTGCCTATATGTACACACACACGTCTGTGCATTTAATATGTATATATATGTGTGTGTAACCTCAAAATATACATAACTCAAGTTACCCTATTTAGAATTGCATAGATCCCACCCTGGTAAACCTATTTTGTTGAAACTTATTTATATATGGTATATGGACTGCAAAGAAAAGACATCTGCAATAAAAACTAATTGTTCAAATTTCAACCACTAGATCACACTTTTCATGCAATGCATAAATGAAATTATGAAAATTAGAGCATTTTAAAAAGCTAGTATTCAGTGCCATTAAATCATTCTTCACTATGTCTTTAGAGAAACATAAAGCTTTACTGACCAAGCAGTTTTATCAGAATAGGCAGTAATTTTCAAATTGCACAGAGAATATTGGCATTTGAAAGGCTTAGAAAAAGGGCCTACATCAAGGCAGGGTTTGCAAAAGATGATTACTGAATTTGAAAAAGCTAGGGAAGTTGTGTGTACCTCCAGGAAGACAACAGAAATGCATTTCAAACGCAACTGTGGAAGAAGTCATTCTTGCATGACCGAAAGAGCGTTTGGTTTCCAATATTCTTCGACAAGTGCTCGAGCAGTGAAAAAAATTATGATACTTTATGATTATCTCCCTTCCTTTAAACTTTCGGTCAAATAAATTACCCATTTCTAACATATTTCTAAGTATGCATACGACAATAAATAACCTATATGTGCGTGTAACACATACATGTTTTTGAGTAGGTGAATTTACATGCTTTATATTTAATGGTAATTTCATTAAACAGTATCCACCAGCTATATAAGATACAAATATTAATTACACACAATTCTGTTTTCCTAATAAAATGCTTATGTTCGTATATATTGCAGCTAATTATTATCCCGAGAAAACTCGGGTGAAGCAGAATTTGTCAGTACAATTTGTTTTATCAAGGTTTTACTCGGCCTGGAAGAAATGAAAGGAAATATTCAGCTTTAACTAGCAGTTTGCCAAGTTTCATTGGTTTTGCGGTTCTTTTGGCGGGATTGGTCACATGTTTCCCTATCATATAGTATACGGCAGCTTGTGGGTTAGTAATGTACAAAGAAGGATGGTTGCATTGAAGAAAAGTAAAATAATGGCGATGATGCAAGATAGCGAAAGCAACGATTTTTCAGATAGTGATTATGAAGAGGTGGACATTGAAAATATAGGAAATGATTCTTCTGTATGTAGCCTTACTAAAGACGACAGTTCAAATGATTTGGATTCAGACGAATTTGCCAACAGCTCGTCAATGGTGTACAATTCAAAAAACGAAGTTGCCACATGCACCTGCTCATTTTGCTTTTTACTGCCAACACAGGTATGAATTTCAATATTGATATCCGTAATGTTTTGGAATTTTTCTATAAATATTTTTATAATGAATTGGTTGGCATTATTACAACAGAAAAAAAGCTATATGTGGAAGAGCGTGCTCGTAGATTGCATTCAAAACCATGGTGTTTTACTTCTCAAAATTAAAAAGAGTTTTTTCGGGAATAACTGTTCTCCAAGGTGTTATAAATAAAACCAGATCTGCAAGATTATTGGAGTAAAAATCAGTTGCTGAATACACCATTTTTTTGCATAAACAATGTCATACAGACGATTTTGTCAGATAAAGCAAAACTTGTACTTCAGCAACAATGAGGCATATGATGCAAGTACACATCCTTGTCCAAAACTAAAGTTATGGCCAATTCTGCAACATTTACTTGAGAATTTTCAGAGTTTGATTATACCTGAATGAGATATAACTATAGATGAAAGTTTATTTCTTTATAATGAAGACTCGGGTGGGTGCAGTACATCTCTTTGAAGAGAGTGCGATTTGGAATAAAATTTTTACTATGCAAATCTAAGAGTGGGTACGTGTGGAATGCCATTATATACAATGAGAAGGGAACTAAGGTTAATCTTTGGATTATGGTAACTTGGCGATTTTTTGGCTTGTGGAATTCCTACATCTTGTACTGTAAAGCAGGAGGTTCACGATCACCTAAACAATTTCGAATGGAACTGATTGAAAAACTAATTTCAGAAAAATCATCATGACGGGTTTTCTGCGACATCAGGAAGACCCAGCATTAGTCCTTCACCACTCAGGTTAACCTCAGCATTTTCCAAATGTTATTCTTGCTACTGAAAAAAAAAATCAAATCCAACGAGACAGTGTTACTGTGTGCTCCCATAAAAGAGATTCCAGAGGTAAACCAGTAAGAAAAAGAGACCAGATACCAGTGTACAGAATGTCAGGTATCATTTTGTGTTGCCCCTTGTTTCAAAAATCATTTTGTGTTGTCCCTTGTTTCAAAAACTATCATACAAAGACTAATAGTTAACTTTCTTCCATTTGCCCGAGATAACTTGGGATAGTAAACAATGCTTTTACACCTATTAATTAAAACTAAATGCTTTTACACCTGTAAAAAAATTTAAAATTCCACTTAAAACCTACATATTTTGTTGTGTTTCATTTCCTTGTATTTAATAATAAAATAAAAAAAATTGATGATTTTTTGCAATTTGTTTTTCAAAAAAATGTGTAAGGGAAGCAGTTAAATTGAGGGGTAAAAATGTGGGTACTTATCAGTCATAAAGCCAAATATGGCAACACTTATGCACCACACCAAATTCTGGCTTATGTTGACAGCTGATATTATAAATAGGTGGCAATGTTTTAAAATACTGTGGCTTATACTGGCTGCTGATATTATAAATGAAATTGAACTATCAGCATTACTTTGTGGATCTCAAAACTGGGGCTCATATGCAAACCATAGATAGACTCTGGGAATCTGTGAAATAAGAAGCATAGATGCACTATGAAACATCACTTGGACTCGTACCATGCAGAATTTATGTGGTAGCATTGCAAGTAGACATAAATTTAGTAAAATTTTATTGACAATAGCTGAGTTAAGACTGCCACAAATTTTAATGTAACATATTTTTTTGCTAAGTAAAGTTGATAAAACCCTATTATACTTTAAATTTTTATCATTGTGTTTGAAGCAAATTTATGATAATATCATCAATGTTAATAACAGCAACAACTCAGAAAAGCAGTCACAAACCCATATCGCTGTAGCTGATGAGAAACAAAACATGTTAATGAGAATAATATAATTCAAGAAAAACTGAACCACTGCTTTATTTCCATTATCTCTAAAAACATTTACACTTAATATAACAATTATATGTTATTATGCTGATTACATTATAGAAGAATCATAAATTGATTATAGAAGAAATACTTTTTTAAGAGAAAATGAAACAAAACTATTATTAAACAACACTGAAAAATTATAGTTTTAAAATGAATTTAGAGTGAGTGAGTGGGGTTTTTGGCGCAAAACCAAAGGTGATGATGATGCACCAAGCACAAGGTGAGATGATCAAAATTTATGAAATTAAAATACAATAAATAAAAACAAGTGAAAATGAATTTAGAAAATAATACAAAGAATCACATGATAATGTCATACAAATTATCAAACCTGTGTATAGAACTCAACAGCTTTTGTATATTCTTTTTCTTGAAAACACAGATTCCCTTCGGCTCTTAACTCGGAAGCTTTCTCCCAGTACTTCTTATGGCGGGATGAGCACATTATATTCAGCCATTGCTGCACTTTATTCCTAAATTTATCAAATATAAATATTAAAATTTTAATATAATTACCTTATCACTTGAAAGTTCTAAAAATGCAATTAAATTAATGAAAAGATTATTTTCAATGATCATTAAATGCACTTTCTTTCATATGCAAGAAATTCTAGATCTACTTCGATATACATACTGTTTTAATGATATCACTACACTAGCATTTTAATGTGAAATTTTTAGAACTTGTTTCATAAAACAGAGAACTGATCTTATAAAACAGAACATTTGGAAGAAGTGAAATTAAAATTTTAATTTTTCTAAGATATGTAAACAATACAGAACAAATTATTAATATTTCAAAAAAAATTTATGTGCACTGATAGTTAATATTCTATGCACCACTTCTGGTATTCTATCTACTCCAGTATTCTATATTCATTCAATGCAATGGCAGGTAAGCAAACACCATACTGCTAGCTCAACATGCTATGAAAGTTTTAATGGTGCCATAGGAATAACCATCCAAGCAGCACTGTCACCAGAATTCAAGATTTGCTAGAAGACTGCCAAAATGGATTATCTTCCTCTTCTTACTATTCTTACATAAGAAAAGCAAATTCCTCCTGTTCTTATGTAGTAAGAAAAGGGCACATTCTTGATGGAGGACATATCAGCTGGTAAAGGTAACCAAAGAGGTTCCCACAATTGCTGCAATACAAGTAGCACCGTCCTACTAGAAAATTAAAGTTAGAGAGACGCTGCAAATACATAAGTGTAACTAGTCACAGAATGTCACTGATGCAGTATCTAGCTCTCTTTACAGAGGCTCAAACTCTCTTATGAGAAGTGATCTACTCAGAAGATCCAATGGCAACTCACATAAGAACGTTCCACATTGACATAGTATGACATGCATGAATAATCATCTTCCCAACTGCATTGAACATATTTGCTACCATTGTTTTTGCTTAAACATAATCATGATTCCATCAGAAAAAACAGTATCATGCTAATCACTCTGCTATAAATGATATCCAGTGTACCATTATAATCTGGCAGTATGTTACTAATGTGTCAAAGGCAACTTAAAAAGTGGTTAATACATTATAATCCACAGCATAATAAAAGTGACATACTGTGGTAGATGAACTGCCACTTATCATTTGCCACTCTTAATAATAGTCAAAGAAAGATATCCTAATGAGATGACAATCTGCTCTTGGATCTGTCTGCATACAATGTACAGAATCTTCTTAAAGTTTTAGGATGCACTGAGCTCTTTCATGTTAACACAGCATTCTGGCAAAATCCCCCGTGATTATACATGATTTTTAAATGTACAAGCATCTCTGCTCACTTCTGAACAAGGATTAAAATTCCTCTCAAACCATGGTGGGCTTCTAAAAGAATCAAGGCTAATTTCTGAATATATTTATCTTCATGATTTATGGATCAATGTGGCTGAAATCCTAGTATCTTTTCCAACATAATCTACTTCAGAAATTCAGAAAAAATATGTTGCACCTGCATTCCTTCTAATGACTTCTCTAATTCCTTTCAAGTGCTTTCTTTCCTTTATAGAGGTGGGGAAGCTAGACTCTCTTGCTTAGCCTTGCAGGAACAGTAATGATATGGCGATAAAAAATTCAGTAATCATGCAATCTACCACTTTTAATTAGCTAGTTACTTCTCAGATGGTGCCATTATATTATATTAAATCATTTTCTAATTCAAATGCACAATAAACTGGCAGGAAAAATAAATTATTAAAATAACAATCAATTTTAGTGCTACCATCTAAAAAATAAATAAAAATTGAAGTTCATACACACATGATTACCAAAAATTCATAGTAAAATAATATTAAGAAAGCATTATTTACCAATACATGCATGACTTCAAAAATCCATTGCGAAATAATATTAAGAAGGCACTATTTACAACTAACTATCAAAAGAAAACCTTTGTTACTAAAACTTACCATACATGCATAATTTTCCCACTAATATGTACCATTTGAAAATGAAGAGGGGAATATTAAGCAATGTATACCAATGTTGCATGAGATGTGAAGGAAAAAGTTTTATATTTAAACATGCATTAATTTGGATATATTGATATTACCATTAGTTACTGCTCCAATATTCTTTTATATATATATATATATATATATATGTTGTATGAACTTAAATTCATTTAGTGCGAATACAAGTTATTATTACTTGCGCAATTGCTGCAAAGTTAGTTAATAATAATTTATTTCCTAAACAGTATTGATTAATTGATTATATTATCTCCTAAGTTTAATTAAAGTAGAATTATTTTAAAAGTGTGCATCCATACTGGTAAGTTATATTTTGAAAGATGTTTTGAAATAATTTGAAAGCAAAATGTTAATAATGTTTTAACGGGGACTGGAGTTAAATCATCACGAAGAATAATATTTAGGAGATAATATAATCAATTAATCAATACTGTTTAGGAAATAAATTATATATATATATATATGTATATATACCGTAATTTCCAGAAGAAACGCCGCGGCGTTTACGTGTTTAAAACAAATTTTCAGCGGGTGCGGCGTTTCTACCCATGCGGCGTTTAGGTGCACTAAAAATAAAATATTTCCTATGATGGTCATTGTACATAGTTTGGATGGCCTTGTCATTGTGCATAGACTGGTGCTGTTCCCACACAAAAGACCACTCAGTTGCTTTTTGCGAACGTTATTTTGTTTACATTCTTTCCTTGAACGGACCTACATGCCTTATTCACCCTAAACGAGATCTCAGAACAATAACATTCTTCCCCCTTTCAAATCAACATTCTCATCAGTTCGAATAGTCTCTCTCCTCTGCCATTCGATGAATCTTCCAGGACCCATCCTCTCCCCACCCCTGCCTTTTCTGCAATTTTTTTCAAAGGCGGACACGATTCCACCTGCCTCGCAATAACGAACTCTGACGTATTTCCCCTTCAGCATGAATGGATTTTTCTTGGCATTCTGCCAAATACAGATCCCATCAGTTTGGGTACAAGTACTTGTTGGATAGTTTTTAAGTAAGAAGGGAGCGGAAAATTTTTGAAAATGTCTCTAAACGGCACAGAAGCTATACATTTCTTACCTTTATTTTTTAGTTATGGTTTCATTTCATGCATTTTTCTTAACTGGTATGTCATATATCAGGACTTAGGTTGAGTTTTTGCATCTATACCCCCACGACGATGTCACGCGCAATTTAATCTATTGCGGCGTTTACGCTGATGCGGCGTTTCTGTGTAATTTTAATTTTTCCCGCCATTTTTCTCGAGTGCGGCGTTTACGCTGATGCGGCCTTTCTTCCGGAAATTACGGTATTTTTATTACACTAAAAGTTGTTATCCATCGCTTGCATTAGGAATAAAAGTAAAATTTCTCATTAAGTTACATGATCGTACTTAATCTGCAAATTCTTATTACCATTTAATGATCATAATAATGAATTTTAAAAGAATCTATGGAGGAAGAAGATTACATTTTTAATACCTGTAGTAGCCTACTGATACTAGTCACTGAAAGTAAATAAGGTAATAAAGTGACATTTGACTTCTGCTAATTCATTTGTGTGCTTTTTCTTCTCTCACAGAGCATATTTTGCTATCTCTATCAACACCCACTGGGGTGTTGATAGAGATAGCAAAATCAACATCAAACCCACTATCAACATCTCCAGGGCTGATGATTCAATTAATTATATCCATTTCATTCATCTCTACAACACAGGAGGATAAATGGAAAAAGGTTATATGAAAGATTAAATCAACAGTCTTGAAGTGTCAGGATAATGATAATCAAGCTTGGAATTTCAAGAATTGGTAATTTTTGTATAGGAACCAACTTTCTGAATTCATGGAATAAGTTGAAAGTTATATGAGTAAATCAAAAGTTTTTAAAGTATATATTAAATGAAAAATTGCAAAGGGATGGGTACAGTGAAAATACATCGATGTGTACATGGACATAGTCAAGGGAGTGCACAATGCCAAATTTGGGCAATTCTGTGATTTTTTTTTAAGTGAAAATAGGTCGATGTGTTCATGGATACCAAGTTTGCGAAATTCTTAAAAACGTGCCAAGCCAGTGGGTGATTCTGCACTTTCCCCCAAGTAAGTTTTAAAAAAAGATAATCAGTAGCATACGTGGGAAAAATATAATGTTATTTAGTTAGTATTTAATAATAGATATCTGCAAACAAAACTGGAAAACCAGTGGAGTAGCAAGGATAACTGGCGCCCGGGGCAAAATACCTTTTTGGCGCCCCTGCCCCCGAAAAAACACAGTGATATGATGAAAATGTGATTTGAAGACCATTTGGCGCCCTTCTGCGAATGGCGTCCGGGCATCATACACCTCCTTTCCCCCCCTCGCTACACCACTGTAGAAAACCTAAGTGTTTGAAAATAAATGTGAGCCACTGTACATTTCATGTACTTTTCTGTTATCATGATCGGATTCAGAAATGCATCAATGTACACATGTGTATGTAGGTAGGTAGATATGAGCACAGTTTACACATACGTAATGCAAATGTGTATATGTATGTAGGTAGGTATGCATGTATACACATACACACATTTCAGAATCCCATCCCAATAAAAGAAAAGTAGTCATTTTCATTCCACTGGCTTAAATTTTCTTTTTTCAATCTATAAAATGTTTGAGTGCAAATAAATAAAATGTTTTACATTAAATAAAAAATAATTTCTAGCATATTTATTTTGATGCATGAAAATGTTTTTTAACCATTTTTCTCAATCAGAATATCTAATGAGTAAGATATTCCAAATGATAAAAATGATTTTAAGAATTGAAATTATGTTACATTCTAGTGCTTTTAAGATCATCAATGTATTGAGATGATTTCCAATAAATGAACTTTAAATTCCCATTTTTGCAATAAAAATGCACAATTTTTTAAAATTAAAGTAACTTTTTATTTATTTTAGAAAGATGCAACAAATATAACCTAAACTACTCAAAGCATAACAATAAATGTAACAGAACTCAGCAAATCCAATTTTAAACTATATTTCATTAATAAACAACAATTTGAAACGCAGTATCGATCAGTTTTGTCCTATATTTCTACCTGAAAACAAGACAATGGATCAACAGAAAATTTACGTTACGTCAAATTTTAGTTACATTCTATTATAAAGGGGATGAATGTTCACCCGAAAGATTTACTTCAGAAATACATAGGAAACTACATGGTCTAAAAGAAATAACGAAAACTCAAACTACATCAGCATAAATCAGAAATTTTAAAATGATTTCTGAATGTAATTATTCTCTGCAGAGCACAGAAATAACAGTTGACAGTGTATTTACATGAAAAATTAAACATATAAAACAGAACTTTAAATTACCGAATAATATCATCTCTCAAGCAAAATTCAACCCTGTCTTCATGATTCTTTAATTTAGAAAACCGTAAGAGCGATTTCGCTTTCCTACACCGGTTTGTAATATCCTCAAGCACATCTTGCCAACATGTGTATGCCGCCATTCGTGTAACCAAGACGCTCGTCCTCTTATTCACGCATTGATTTTTTATTGATTTACAAAAAAAAATCCATATTACAATAATGAAATTATAGAAATAGATATAATAATGTAAAAGACTTCATTCTATTTTTAATGTTCTACTTTTCGTTCAATCTAAACTGTTTTAAGAACGAACAATATTTAGTTTCTTACATCGCAATTCTACAGCGGACCAAATTTGTTTCAGCAAGTTGCATTGTAGGATTGTATGTGCACGACTTTCCTAAGTTTCCCAGTAATCACAATTTCCTGCTCGCATGCTACGCAGATGACACTGCGCTCATCCAAAAATCAAGAAAACCGGACAACGCAATCCTTCAGTTACAACGAAAAATAGCAGAAGTAGAAAATTGGTGTCGGACGTGGAGAATACACACTTAAATCCTACCAAAAACATAAATCGTACCAAATTTTCCTGGTAAGTCACAGATCCTGCTCATCAGAAGATACAAGCTCAGGGATACTATTGATAAGTCTGTTTATCTCTTCGGAAAACAAGTTCCTTTTGTAAACACTGCCAAATATCTGGGAGTCACCTTTAATAGATCCTTCACTTGGTCAGCGGACATCATTACTACCATGGGAAAAATCTACGCTATCATGCGGAAACTTTATTTTCTACTCTCAGAAAATTCAGGACTCAGCATGACCAGGAAAAAGCGTATTTATACCACTATCCTCCGTCCCATCTTTTCTTATGCCTCGCCTGTCTGGGCAAATGCAAAACGCAACGAAATTAAAGAACTGCAAACCATTCAAAATAAATTTTTACGACTAATTATTGAAGCACCCTACTTCATCAGGAACAAAAATCTTCATAGAGATCTGAACATCGACTACGTTAAGACCCACCTCAACAAATTGAACGAAAGTTTCTATCAAAAAAGCCATTCATAACCACTTTGCTGATTTTTCTGACGTGTTAAACTGTGTAATAATCGATGATGACTACTTTGCTCGGCCCTTCACAGCTCATGTTTTTAATATGTTAAGTCAAAACAGCTAAAACTTTCTCATCCCACGTCGGACTTTGGACGCTTTCTCCACACAAGTTCCTGATCTGCTTCTTAGTCACTTCATATTTTCACAAGCATCGAGCATCAACAGAATACCGAACGGATAGAGCATAGACATACAGATCCGCAGATCGTCAGTTCGATATTCAGTGGGTAACGACTTTTTGGAAGTACTGGTCTTCTCTAGGATCTCCAGCAGATTGTTCACTTCCCCAAGCTATGTTTTTGGGTCATTTTCTTTCTTTTGAATGCTGATGTCCCATCTTGGGTTCTACTCATGTAAACTTCATCACCATGCCCATTGTGGAAACTGTACTATGATACTGTTACTTAGGCTGGTCTGTAGGAGGTACTGTCTCAGCGCGAACTTCCAGCACCTCAGGTGCCCCCTTAACAGGGATTCCAACTGTACGAGACCTTATTCGGATTGCCACTAATGGGTTGAACTAGGTGGAGGAGAAAAAATATAGGCCCTTGCCTGTAATTATTGTGTTGCAGGAGATGTGAGGGTGTTACTAAGAGTTCATACTTATAATTAAAGTTATCGACAATATGAACTGTGTCGTTGCTAATCGCTTTATTGAAAAAGTTATTGTTAATATGTCCGATGTGCGTTTTGATTTCTTCCAATTTTAGATGTGTAAATCCTCATCAACCAGGGCACTTCCGTGATTTTTCGAATGAATTGTGGAAACATCTCAGGTTGCAGGGAAGTACTGCTGCCGCAGTAGAAACCTTGCATAATCACTTTCGTATCAAATCAAAGAATTCTCCCCAAGGGATGTTTATCTATGAAGTATTTAATTTTAATTTATGAATAATATACAAAACTACCTTTTTTCAAGATTTGGTATTTGCCAGCATTTTTTATACTTTGTGTTGTTTAATTTATAAAACGTGTTATAAAATAATTTAAATCTAAATAAATGTGTACGAGTATTTTTCAAGTTTTGGTAGGGAAAGAGCGAAATAATCTTTCAGCAATGGTAAAAGGGGTGCATGGGGCAAAAAGAAGGTCGAGAACCGCTGGCATAGGCAGTAGCGTCTCCGTTCTGCGAGCCTAACACTCCACGCACGCGCAATACACATACTTTTTTTTCAGCACGGCGACCTCCGTGGATTGGCGACGAATGTAGACTTCAGGTACGCATTATAAATTGCTTCGATAAATGTTCAATTGTATTCATGAGATTCTGAGTTAAAAAATGAGATTCTGATTTATAATATGAGAGAAATTTTGTGCATTCTGAGTTAAAAAATGGGACGCATTCTGAGTTACAATATGAGATTATGAGTTAAAAAATGAACGAGAAAAAGTCATCATGAGGTAGTTTCTTTCTTGCGATGACGACTGCTCTTCTTGATTTTCGGTAAATATCATTTTTGCTTATTCTTCTCGATATTGCCAGTAATAGCGAACCACCTGATAGAGGCAAAATTCTTTGGGGGTGCTATTTTCAGCGATTATGATAGCGATAATGATTCTACTTATTCGAATGATCCAAGAAAATCGACTACATCCAAAGAGATGCCTGTAATTGCTTCAGATGACCCGGCACTTCAAAGCATAATTGCTGCTCTAATTTCTGCTAAGAAAAGTAAATCCCAGAGAAAAGAAAAGAACCCCGCAGGAAGTCCTAAGAAAATAGCCGATAATACTAAAAAATTCAAACTCTCCTCTTCAAATTTTGAAGCAGTAGTTTACAAACACAGAAAGGTTTTTCCTAATTTAACAGAAGCTATCTCGCAAGAATATCTTAATACTCAGCTTCCGACTACCCAAAAGATCTCTCACTCAAATTAGAAAACGAAATCGCCGATAATTAAACTGTATTGAGTTATGAAGACATTAACCTCCCCACCAGCGATAGAAGCGTTCAAAGTTACAAGAAGAAATTCACAAAATCAGTTCATTTTAGCAAGCATTCAGAACACCCCGAAGCTCGCAAATTCTAAAACAGATGATAAAGCAAAAATAAATCAGAAGGATTGGCAAACTCCAAAGGAAACAGCCAAAAATTACCACCAGATGTTCCCCAAAATAACAGTTTTGAAACTCTTGACGAAAATAACGAAGCTATGGAAGTATTCCTGTAATGGCTAGGCTTACCATGATATTTTTTGCTCAAACCAGAAGAATTTTGAGAAAATACTTGCACAGATAATGAAACCGGAAAAAGCAACTACTAAGAAAAAAGGAAAATAAAGAAGGATTGAAAAGCCTAAATAAAGAAGTTATTAACAAAAAATAACAACGAGTTAAAATAAATATTTAGTAACTCAATATATTATTCATTAGTATTTACTATTAGTGTCTAGTGTTTTTAACGCTAGTGTGAACTTTGCTAATTTTAACAGTATCGAAAAAATTCACTGCAATTTAAATGGCTATTAATTTTGCAGATTATCAAAGCTTTTACTGTTTATTCAACCAGTTTACCTCTTTCTTCAATTCTTTTATGATGCCCACAATTGGCAATATTCTTTTGATTGCTGCCAGTGTGTATCGCATGCTTGAAAATGTATTCTATCATTTAAGTGGCCCTGTGCAATGAAATGTGTTTTCTTTGAAATGACTGAAATGTTGCATCCATTTTTCTTCACAATTTTTTAAATTTCATTGACAATAGCACTTGGTTTTGTACTTTCCGTAATCAACATAACTTTGTTAAATAATGTGAGTTGCCCTTGTACAAATCAATAGTACATTTCAATACAATTTTTTTGGTCATCCCTTCAAAATGCTCTTATGAAATAAAATTTGAAGTATTCTGTCAATAGCTGGAAGTAGCGAAAGAAGATGAGTGTTGTTTATGTTGAAGAACTTTTCAGTCTACATATACAAATTTACAAAAATCTTTTAGTTTAGTGACTCAAATTTATAAATAATAATCACCCTAAATACAAGACACAAGTAAACCGGTAAGTCAGGGATAACTCTAGCGGTGACAATATTTAACGGAACAACATTAATCGCCAATAACTTTAATCGCAATATTATGATACATCGCCAATAGTGTATAACAGATGCCAGCCTATTACGCTAGTGAATCATATAGGCACACGAGTACGCTCGAAACGTAACTGACGAACGCGCTTTTACGTTACTAGCGTAAAAGCGTCCAAACACGTACGCTTGCGAAGAGTGCGTTTAACCATAGAACTTATTTGGGGCAAAAAATCACGTGACGCTGTAATATACTTCAACAGAGCGTATCTTATTACTTCGCTGTTCTTCTGTATGTTTGCGCAAGTTGTCCGAATCAGATGATTTTTTTTATAGCTGAAACTTTACTATTATGTACAATTATTAAGCAGAGGCAAAACCGCAAAAAATGGCAAGAATGGGTCCGAAAGATTTATTTAGAGCGACCTGTTCAAGAGATTTTTTTTTTTACTGCCTTGTTTGCGAAAGGAATATCGGGAATTATTAAATTCCTACTATTAGCTCAACTCTCGTTATATCTTGTTCAATTTTCAGTACATAAATGTTTTCTTCATCCACTCAAGTTCAAATCCATTTTTAACTTGTACTGAATGACACTTCATGTTAATATAGCTTTTTCACATATTAAAATTTCTTTAATTTTTAATTAAAAAAATTCTTTTTGTATTTTTATTATTTATTTTTGTATTTTTAAACTTTTCTTTTGGAACCTAAGTAGGAATTGACTTAATTTTTTTGGGGGGGGGTATATTACTTGTTTTTATTCCTTCAGGCATGAGTATGGACCAAATTTGACAGACTTGCAGATTCTATATCGTACGTAATTCTCTTTATATACACATCCACCATATAATAAACCAACTCATATTTTTTTAACTCGCTCTCCCTTGGTCTTTTGTTTTCTTTTTCTTTATTTAAATTAGAATGAGGTTCAACTTGGACAGTTTATGAGAATTTGTGCATGATAAAATATGCAATAAAGTAAAATAAAGAGAGAATTTATAGATGATATATGATAAAGAGATGCAGCTATATTACTACATAAGGATTTCTATTTGCACTGCACATTTTTAAACTAAATTAAAAACAATAATATAATGAATAAATAAGAAATGAAAACAATAATATAGGTAAA